GATCTAGAACGAACTTGAGCCATACAATACTTTCGTACAAATTAGGGTACTCCAAATTATGTTTACAACAACGTTTCGGAATAACACAAATTGTAAAAATTTATCCTTTTCTTCTTTTGTAATGGACCTTTCTGTCTTTAAAAGATCTATGCAATGGATTTTTCTTTCTCTTTTGCATTTTCTCGTTTTCTCTTTCAAGCATTCAGCCAAAATGTATCATATTTATATCCCATCTTCACTGATACTGACGTTCCATTTCCTTAATATCTCAATTAAATCGTTCACACTGTTCTGTTCTGTAGTTTCCAAGGTTTTCTGGAAAGTAATCAAGATGAGAATGTAAAAAGTGCAATTGTAATTTTATTAAACAACCCAACTTTTTGAAGTTTTTCAATAAATCTTCAACCAAAGTTTTGTAATCTTCACTTTTCTGATTTTCCAAGAAATTCTCTACGATTGTTTTGAGACTTAACCATGTGGCCAACTCATTTTAATGAAAAATATTTCATCTCTGGATAAGGTGCGGATTTGAGGACCATAGAAAACATTTTCTTTTAGTTTAGCATTACTTATCTGGAAACTTCTTTCTTGAGTACTCAAAAATTCTCCATCCTTGTCCACAGCTTTGATAAATTGCTTTATAAAACCAAGTATGATACGAAGGAGTGGAAGCAAAATCTTTGAAGGATCTATTAAAGTTTTACGGGCGATATTTTTTAACTCAAGGTTAAAATCTATTTGCCACTTTTGCTATGTATACTGATCTTCACTATCTCACAGATACAAGAAACAAAGATTTTTTTGTAAAATCTGACTAATGTTCCAGAATCAGAAAAAAATTTTAAATCACCCCAAGCTTTCCATTGCTGTCTTGCGTAATTTATTTTTTCTAATGCTATTTACGTTACCTTTAACTTCGTTGAATGAACTGTTGAGATAGGAGCAACCAAATTTTTTTTTTGGCTCCGTTTAGAATATTTAATGAAAAACCTCTACTTTTTATCTTTATAAATATTAGTTTTCAAGTTATTCATTAACCTTCTTACATTTGTACGAAAGATCATCGAGTTTTCAATATCTTTGGCAATGAACTCACGAAACTTTTTTTCCTTATCCCGATAAACGTACGGTTTAGTCCCCTCGGATAACAAGTTTTCTTTTTTTAATACTGCTTCCAGATACTCAACTCCAGCTTTTGGTAATCCCAAAGCAATTATGAGACCATGCAACGGTAGTCGTTTTAATTAATCGAACCGTTCGCGATTCTGCTTTTCGTGCGTTAGTTCTAATAGTGAAGAGAGAGAGGGGGCGCGCGATTTTTTGAATAAGCAGTTACGCCTCAGCTGTGAACGCGAGTTACCGCCGATTTGTTTTTCGCACTTTGTTTTCGCCGAATAAAGTTTCCTTGGAACAATTACGTGCGTGTGTGTGTAACAATAGTATTGCAGCAGCAAGCAGCGGTGCAGAAGCAGCAGATTGCAGTAGATAAAGGCGAATTGAGGCAGCGCAGCTGATAATCAAGGGGCAGCGGCAGTTGAGATTTTTTGCAACAACAATTACGGCTGATCACCGTGATTGCACCGCATGGTAAGTGCACCATCCGTCATTATATGCGATACAAAATACATTCGGTATTTTGTTTAATTGTGTTAGCGTTAATTTTTGTATTCGCGTCGAGCGCTAGTTCACGGTAGAATTCGAATCTACTCTCTCTCTCTCTCTCTCTCTCTTTCTCACTGAAAATAGTTAATTGTAAAATCCTATTCGCGAGCGTTAGTCTTTCGGCCCTACAAAGACTGTAGTGATTTTTTATTAATTAAAGTCTATTAAATTTATTCGCCGTTTTCGTCGTTTAATTTTCCTAGTAGCTTAAGTAATTGAAAAAGGCTTAGGTTTTAATCGAATTACATCTAGGGGATTAAGAAGATTAGAAGTAAAGTCGCTCACACTTAAAACTCATCAAGTGTAACAAGACACGTGACTCAAGGTGAGTTCAACTCCGTTCGATAGAAGACAACTAGGATAAATCATCTGACGTTAAGGCGAATACACGTATTATCATACGTGTTTAACGGAGCGGCGGTTTGCTCTGCATCGTGGGAGTTTGTTCTTAAATAAATTTCCCATTTTCAAATTTATTTCCCCCGTTACAACCATTAAAAACCTTTTAATTGAATACTTCTAGGGTCTTAGCTGATTTTATACCGAGGAGTCTAAAGTTAATGCTTATTAGGACTAATACACAATTTTAGGAGGTAAAATTCACTCTGAAATTTTACCTTCAGAAACAGCTTTTACAAATATTTCAGAAATAAAAAAAGATAATTCTATGAAATCAACACTAAATATTGTAAAATGAAAAAGGCTACAAAACAGCATTAATTTCAATTGTAAGGGTAGTAATTAATATTTAAAAAAAAATTACTTTTTTTTCATCAATTATTGGCTATAAAAATTACAATAAATATGAATATTTCCTTAAAATTGAGGTCACGTGAAATAAGTTAAAAAAATAAAGTTGTCCTGTTTCGTAGTCTTAGCTTAAATTATTTTTTGTGGAGATAATCACTCCCAATTATAACAAAGTTTTAAAGAAACACGGATAAACGATATATCATTTTAGTAGTACTGGGTACAAGGGAATATAAATTTTTCATTAATTTTGCTAAATTCGTATGTTTTAACGATTGTTTAAATAAATTATTATAAATTTATTCCGAAAAATATGAAATATTTATTGTTGATATGTTGTGTGGACCAATCAGTGATAAAATATATTCTTTATCAAACCAGTTTCTTTAATTGCATATTAAAAATTAAAGTTACGTATTTATGAAGATAGGATTACCAGACCTTTAATTTAAATGTAAGTTATTTCAAATTTATAGGATTTAATTTTTCTTACAATTTTAGAAGGAAAATTATTGTTTTTTAAATAAAACTCTACTATGATAGCAATTTAAGATAACATTTTTCTAACCATTATTCAACTAGTCAACTTGATTTTCTTATTTTCTTTTACGTAAACTCAGTTTTAAGGTGATATATAGTGTATCGTAATTTTTATAGTCAATAATTAATTCATGAAAAAAAACTTATTTTTATTTTAAATAGGGGTTGCTACCCTTACAATTAAAATAAATACTGTCTCATAATCTTTTTCATGCCATAATTTTTAGTTTCATCAAACTATCTTTATTTATTTCCGAAATATTTGAAAAAAACTGTTTCTAGGGATAAAATTTCGAAGTGTATTTAACTCCCTAAGATTGCATGTTAGCCCGTCTTAAAAATACATGTGTTTTATTTCTAAACGTACTATAACACTTTACAATACCATCTGAATTAGCGACACACATACTTGGAGTACCTTTCTTGTGAGTTCAACCCTATAATTTTCCCCTCCCTTTTCTTCGTCCCTACAGCATAGGGCTTGGATCAAGGAGTGTACTTCTATTCTTGCTCTCGTTCTTCTCGTTCTCACGGATGTCTTCTTGCTTGCCAACCATCCGACTTCGAGATGACTAGTGCTACCTCTTTTCGTTCTATATGACCAGCAAGACCTTCAAGCCATGCACTTCCCGTGAGATCTAATAGCCTTCGAATATCTTTTTCCTCGCGAAGCTGACTATTGGCACTATGGGGATGATACACAGAAAATACACTCGTATACGTTTATAGTACAAACATGAATGTATACGAGCAATAAAACCACACGAGCATGACGTACATACGTCATACCTTATATACATTATGACGAATAAATTTAAATCGTCATACTCTCACCAGTTATAATATAATATTCGATAGAAGTTTGTAATATGTATAGCTTGTTCACAGTTACGCAACTGTACGAGAGAGAGAGAAGACGTAGACAAGATGAGAGAGAGGGTAAGCTGGAGAGAGAGAGCTGGGCGGGGATGAGATGAGAGAGCAGAAGAGATACGCTGGCGGCGAGCTCGAACGTTTTTGGGAGGATCGCGAAACAAGGAATACGATTACCTCGTAAAATACTGTGCTGGATAACGAACCGGAGGTGGTTAGCGAGAGCGTGCGTCGTGCGTGTGTGACGGCCGATCCATTTTGGAAAATCTGCGAGCGTACGCGCATATTCGTAAGTGCCAGCTCTTATCATATAGCAACTCTCTCTCTCTCACGTTCCAACGTTCTCTCCCTTTCGAATATTGCTCGTCGAGGAGCATTCATTTGTAATTTTCTCTATTCTAATTCTTTTTATTTAATGAATAAACGTCTATTGTTTCGTTATTGAAAATACTATTTGGCTCTCCCACTTATTTGCTGACACCTTCCTCGCAAAATTAAGAACCCTGCCGCCTCCGCAAACACGAGTAAGCCCGTGTTTTAAAACTGCGCTAGCCGCTGCACAGTAGACCAGTGCAAGGTCTACAACGTCTCGCGAACTCGCGAGAAACGAGACGAAAGTCTCGATTGTTTACGGTAGGTTCATTCGCGAATTTCGCATAAACACGAACTATTCAAAAAATAACCGCACCGTTACAACATATTGATATTTCGTTAATCTTGCATTAATTATAATCGCCACTATAGAACGTAGATTTGCGCAATATTACAATGTACGAGTAGTTCTTATTTTCTATTTTTAATATTGATTCGCAACAGCAGGGGTTTTCAAAAACGAGAGAGCAGTGCAGTCCTCAAAATAGACGCAGGCCTGCTCAATGGAAATGTTTTTCAATTCTGTTAATTAATCATACGTTTGGGCCCTATGTGTCCTACTACCTCATGTAAACTTTCCTACTCTTCTGCGAAATATTGAACTTTATTACCGAATAACAAGGGAGGTAGCCCAAACCCTTTTTTTAACTTGTTTATGTTTTTAAATACTTTACCCGATTGAAATAATGAAATATGCACATTTTCGATGTTTTCAATAATAATTTATAGTTTTTAATTCATACTATCATCTTTTCATAACTCAGTATCGAATATAACAAAATAATAAACTCTTTATATTACAGGGCATCCTTTTCCAGAAATATCAACACGGTCATCACATAAAGGACCTTTAATTCAGAATTTATTATTGAACGAAGCTAGAAGAGAGTATTGCTTACAAAAATATTTTATTACTAAAATAAAACCATAAACTTAATTACATATTTACATAATTTATTAACATTTCTTATTATATGTTGAAAATGTAATTATTATAATATACTGTAGGTATTCCTTTCTATCATATACGTTCGTTAATCTTTTCATAATAATTTAAGCCCATTTCCAGGATTAGGATCCATTAAAGTGTGGGTTCGTAAATGAATTTTTCAAAAATTTGTTACTTTAAGAGGGATGGTCAATAAATTCTTAAAAAATGCAAGAGATGGCGCGCTAAATATCACAACTTATATTGCTACAGCAAGCGTCACTTCTAACTAGAATGCTGTCAAAGTTTTAGTGAAACTCATCAAGTGGTTTCGTTTTATGGTCGGTCAAAATGAACAACTTTTGCTTATGCTTCAACAATGGAAAAAATGTGAATTTCGTTTGCTTACAGTGGAGAATGAACGTACTCGAATTCTCGTCGCTAAGGCCCTCTTAACGTGCATTTACCGTAATCTGGACGATTTTCTGCAAGTACTTATAATTATATAAAAAATTCTTATGTTTTCACTCCTGATATTTGATGATTTTATTTTATTAAATTTCTGATCTTAGGAGTTATCCCTGTAAATAATTACACACCTTGTTTTTCTTGTAAACGTTTCGCAATTCAATTTATTGCCACCTCAGTATACATCTGTTAAATATATAAAATGAATAATTTCAAATCAAATATAGTAATAAATTAAATATAAACCTACGTTTTTTAATATGCTTTGTACTGCAATGTTGATTAAAATAAAAATTATTTCCTCACATATATAACGTCAATATAAAATTATAACATCAATTAAATAAAACAATAATTTTTTGTCAGTACGGTATAAACACATCATGTCCAAGCAAATTAAAATAAAACTGATAGAATACGTTTGTATATGCTCCTAGTAAGTCACTCACGCTGTATAAGAATAGAAAGAGAAAGATTGAATGGTCTAATAAGAGAGATATGAAGAGTGGGGAATACAAAAGAGGAAAAGAAAGATCAGATCATGTTAATCTCATAATACTATTACTAAATAGACTTAATGATGTTAAATATTCTCGAATATTGGTTGCTGAGATATTTTGTATCTTCTTGTGAATTAATGGTATTATCCGTAATTTTAATGTGTACTGATTCTGCGATGCATCCTTTTTTGTAATTCTGTTCTACATGTATAATTTTTGTGTTATCCCAATCAAATTCATGTTTCGGATTATTCACTATATGAGCTGGTATAGGTAGATGTCTAAATCTAGAGTTACTTGGATCTTGAATCGTTTTTTTTACCGAATATTTATGTTCATTGATTCTAGTTTTTAGAGCTCTTTTGCTTTCGCCCATGTATAGGCGAACTTATAATTATAGATGAAAATACAGTAACGCTCAATGACATTTGCCACCCTGTGGACTAAAAACCTAACACTTTCAAGTTTTATATGTCAACTTAGGATAGTTGTAAAAAATCCTGTGGGTACTTATTTTGTAGGATTTTCTAATATCAATTGGCGTAAGCCACATGTCTGTTTTTTCATTTTTTTTTTTTGCCAACTTTGAAGCGATATAATTTAGAGGGAAGTGATGGGAGATAAAATCTGTCTTTACTGTTTGAAATCTTGTCCCAAATGCTACATAATCCATGTCTGAAAAATTTTTTTCATACGATTTATTTGAGCTAGACCGTATTTTATTAAAAAGCACATGTTACGAATCAAATCGTTATATCTCGGAAAATATGCTCTTTACAAAAAAACTCTAAAGAGAAAAGTTGTATTTTGGTCAAAAAAAACCATTTATAAACTTTATACAAATATTTGTTTGAACTTTTTATAAATATTGTTTAAGTAAATTTATAATATAAATCATACAGTTATTTTTTAATTTTTTATTAAAAATAAGTTTGAATAATAGTTCATTTGATTATATAATTATTTGTCAAAAAAATGTCTATCATTAAAATTAAAATATCATTTATTAAGTTTTAATAAGTAGTTTTTGGATTATTTTTATCTTTTGCATTTCTTTAATTTGATTATTAAAATGTCGAACGACAAACCTCCAATTTATAACTTTATGGAATGCGCTTCCGAAACAATTCTAAATTAGTGAATCACTAATTGGCGAGGAATTGACTGTTCAACAAAAAAGAACGCACGAATGGAAAAGGACCGTAGTAGATGAGTTAAAAACATTTCATACTGATCAATTTAAAGTGCAAAATGATTTTTAAAAAATTTCGGAAACAATAAATAATTTAAGTAATAAAGTCGATAGATTGACAAATAAAATTATTGAATGAGATGAAATAATCAAAAATTTAGAATCAAATTTAGATAAATCAAATGAAATTATTGCTATTGTAAAAGAAAGATGTGATGATAATTTTAATGATATTATTCGCGCGAAAAATTATGTTACTATGGAAATGACTGAAACATTTTCAGTACTTCGCGAAAATATTGATAAACTTAAAAATAATGATCAAAATTGATCTATTGTAACTAAAAATATTATTGAAACGATTAAGCAACCTGCTTTAACGTGTTTAGTTTTTGATGATAGTTATAAATATCGTTCAGTAAAATATTTAAATGATCTCAAACGATCTTTGTAAACAAGTAATTATAATACTGCTCAGCTATTATGTTTGCTATCTCGATCTATGACAGGAGTAAATTCTTCGTGGTACGATTTAGTACAGCGTAAGATAAAAAACTTTGAAGATTTTGAAATATTATTCAAAGACCAATTTCGGAACGTAGAAATATGTAGAAATATTACTCGTGAAATAGAATTTGGTAAATATTTTGGTGGTAAATTAACACGTTATAATTATGCAACACGCAAAATAAACGTAGCTTTTGATTTATTAAATAATAAATTTTGTAATGACGGAAAGAAGAGAAATAGTGAAAGATGGAAAATCACTTAATTTTAATTATATTCAGCAACATTTCGTCAGCACGTTTGCTGACCTCTTCAGACTTTATTAATAGAAAAACAACAAATTATTAACAATAGAGTTTGCACATGTAATTTTAATAGTATATAATTATATGTATATGTGTATACCTGATTTCTCTCGTAGTCAAATTATTCTAGGCTAAAACGAATCTATTGGTTACTTACATACACCTACCGCACGTATAGTTCATGCGCAGCGTGTCTTTGTTTACAGTGCCTTTTTTGCGTTCGTTGGATTTTGATATTGTCAAAAATGACTGAAAAACAAGATCAACAAATTTGCATCAAATTTTGCTTTCAACTCGGAAAAACACGTTCGGAAACAATTGAAATGATGCAAAAGGCCTTCGGAAACGAGTGTATAAGCAAAACACGAATAAAAGAGTGGTATAATCGGTTCAAGGATGGTGTCGCACTTCTGTCGATAATGATTCTCGTTCCGGCCGATCTTCGACTACAAAAACCGCAGATAATATTGAGCGGGTGCGACTTGCAATCGAACAAGATCGTCGTATGACTGTGCGACAACTAGAAGAAGACCTTGGGATACTAAAAACTATCATTTCAGAAATTTTAACCGAAAATTTAGGAATGAACCGCGTGTGTGCGAAATTCACAGCAGAGCAGAAGAACATTCGCTTAGAAATCGCTCTGGACAATCTGGAAATGGTCAATAATGATGATAATGTGCTTAGAAAAGTTATTACAGGTAATGAATCATGTGTTTATGTTTATGATCCTGAAACAAAACAACAATCTTCACAGTGGAAGCATTCTGAATCACCAAGACCAAAAAAAGCATGTCAAAGTCGCAGCAATGTTAAGTCAATGTTGATTGTTTTTTTCGATTGTGAAGGTGTTGTACATCACGAATATGCACGAACAGGTCAGACAATCAATAAAGAATACTACGTTCAAATTTTAAAACTTTTGCGTGATGCAGTAAGAAGAAAACGGCCGCACTTTTGGGAAAGTGGTGACTGGCTTCTCCATCACGATAATGCGCCAGCGCATTCATCCAATCTTGTGCAGCAGTTTTTGAGCAAACACAATATCGCATTGCTTCGACAACCTCCATACAGTCTTGACATAGCCCCTTGTGACTTTTGGCTGTTTCCAAAACTAAAAAAACCACTCAAAGGACACCGACTCGATGACAAAACAACGCTTAAAAACAATGCGACGAGTGTACTTAAGGGTATCCCTAAAAGTGAGTTCCAGGACTGTTTTGAAAAGTGGAAACATTGATGGAACCATGTTATTCAATCAAGTGGGGATTACTTTGAAGGATGCCACCCACCAGATGATAAAGAATAACGGTAGCACGAAAATATAAAGGTAGGCCCGATACTTTCCGGACAGACCTCGTATATACTCTTCATCTATTATCCCTTCCTCATCGATATTAACCTGTTAACCGAGCGGGACGTATAAATACGTCCAAAGTAAACAACAATAAGTACGGGTAGGACATATGAATACGTCCTCGATATTTATATTGCGCCCTGGAACGGGCGGGATGTATATTTTACTACTACTATGGTAATACGTCATTCATACACGTCTTAGTGGAAAAGGACGCGCCCGTTATATGTTGCGTAATTAGAAAGGGATTTCCCCGGTTAACAGGTTAATAAAGGCTTATAGATTATGTAGATTATTGGATTATGAAAAGAATTATAAGAAACGCAGAATATCCGAAATCTTACACATTGGCTTACATAAAAACAAGTTAAATAAAAAAGAGGATATACAATATCTTAGTCACATCTATAAGTCTTTATTAAGATCGATGAGGAAGGAATAATAGATGAGTATATTTATGGGTTGAAATACTAGATTTCTCACTTTATTGTAATTTAACTGTGCTACGAAATATTCGTTTTAGCCTATAATAATTTGATTATGAGAGATATCAGGTATACACATATACATATAATAATATACTATTAAAATTACTTGTGCAAACTCTATTGTTAATAATTTGTTCTTTTTCTATTAATAAAGCCTGAAAAGGTCAGCAAATGTGCTGACAAAACGTTGCTGAATATAATTAAAATTAAGTGATTTTCCATCTATCACTATTTCCCTTCTTTCCATCATTACAAAATTTATCATTTAAAAAA